TACAGGTGAAGAAAAGCAGAAGCACTGAAGCAGGAGGCAGGCTGAGCCATGGACTTTTGCCTGTCCAGAGAACACAGACATTCTGAATGTTTACAAGCAGTTCCAACGTTTCAGATGTTTAAAGGGACAGCATTCTCTCAGATCCCAGGGACCTAAGAATAGGCTCCACTTGCCAGGAACTGCAAGGACATTCCAGAAATGAACAATTGGAAAGGTGCGATATTCCCCTCATTACTCTTGTACCCCACATCCTCTTGGTGAGGTGCGACTTGGAGATGTGGCTAGCCCTCTTTCCTATCTACCGTCTGGGCTGGCAGAAATTCCATCCCAGTCTGTGTGCACTGATGGAACCTGAGTGCCCTGCCCCATCCAGATGTTTTTTTCTTTTTTTAAGTTTATTTGTTTTAAAATTATTATTTCTTTTTCATCCTTTTTATTATCACTCTTTATTCTTCGCTTCCCAGGTTCAAGTTTGCAGCTTTTTCTCCCTTCCCTGTTCCCGATTTCCATGTTTTTCTCTTTCTTGTAGTTAACCCCATTCCTGGTTTTTCTTTTTGCCTTTTCCCACTTTTTCTTCATTATTCTCCTACTCTACCTCTTTTGTCTTATTGCCACCACCACAGATACTGCATGGTTATTTTTTTTTTTCCTTTTTTTTTGGTGACTGTTCCTGTATGTTTATGTGGTGTGTTATTTCTCCGCTTTCTTTTACTTTTTGATGTTTTTTCCATCATTGTTTTTGTCTAACTGACTAGGAGACAGCAACCGTGCCCATACAATGCAACTCCTGCAGCTCCACTTACTGAGTGAGAGCCATCACTTCCTTCTCCACCAACTGGCTAGAAATAAATCACCACCAAGAAGAGCCTGACACACCCTTACTGCTCTTCATGAACAGTTAGAAGAGATCTAAATATAACAATGTCACAATGCCTCAGAGACAACAGACCATCACAGTCCACCAAAAGTAGGAAGATAAAGTGGTAGAAACAAGGGAGCAGGATACAGACCCAGAACACATCCCTGAGGAAGAAGCAGCATTGAAACTCCATGACATGGAATTCTAAAAAATTATATTTAGGTATTTTCAAAGGATTGAGAGACAGACTAAGGAAACATTGACAAAATTAAGGAAAACACAAGACAAAACCCTAGAACAATTTTGGAAGAAATTACAGGGACAAAATAAGTGAAAAAGCAGAAACGATACAGAATTTACAGACAGAAATCCAAAAGATTAATACTAAATTTTCAGAAATACATAACACATGAAAGGGCAAAGGAGTAGAATCAAAACAATGGAAGACAGAATTAATGAGACTGAAGACAAATACCTGAGTACTTCTTTGGAAAGGGATCAATCAGAAAAAAGATCAAAACAAAATGAGAAAAGCCTAAGGTTCATGTGGGATACAATCAAAAGGAGTAACCTAGGTGTAATCGGAATTTCAGAACAAGAAGAGAAAAAGAAAACCAGAGAAAATTGCCAAGATTTCTGAGAAAAGAACCTCCCTGATATGATGAAAGATGAGAATACATCCATTCAAGAATCCAACGTACCCCAAGCAGGAGAGACCCCAAAAGACAATCACCAAGACATATTATCATCAAACTCAAGAAAACCAAAGACAAAGAAAGAATCCCGAAAGGAGCAAGGAAAAAACGAAGTTACCTACAAAGGGCAACCAATACAAATAAGCTCTGATTTCTCAGCAGAAACGATGCAGATGAGAAGGCAATAGGATGGTATATATAAAACCCTGAAAGAGAAAAGTTTCCAACCAAGAATTATATACCCAGAAAAACTGTTCCTCAAATATGATTGTGAAATTGGGACATTTCCAGATAATCAGAAATTAAGGGAATTTTGTAAAACCAGATCAACCTTACAAGAGATACTAAAGGGAGTCCTTTGAACAGAAAACCAATAATAGCAAACAACAACTGACCATTAATATACAAGATGGCATAACCCAGAAACCAACACAGCTATGGACGTATCCAAAATAAATTAAGCTTACA